ACGCCACGCCACGCCACGCCACGCCACGCCACGCCACGCCACGCCACGCCACGCCACGCCACGCCACTCCACTCCACTCCACTCCACTCCACTCCACTGACTCACTCACTGACTCACTCACTCACTTTCCCTTCATATTTCATTTTATTTTCATTTCATTTTATTTCATTTCATTTCGTTTCATTTTATTTCATTTTATTTTCATTTCATTTTCATTCCATTTCATGTCATTTCATTTTCATTTCACTTCATTTTCATTTTCATTTGCATTTTCATTTTCATTTCATTTTCATTTCATGTCATGTCATGTCACTTCATTTCATTTCATTTTATTTCATTTCATTTTATTTCGTTTCATTTTCATTCCATTTCATTTCATTTCTTTTCTTTTCGTTTCATTTCATTTCATTTTCATTCCATTTCATTTCATGTCATTTCATTTCAACTCACCAAGACTTTCCTATAAGCAAACTGGTTATAGCCATGCCCTATTTTGGAAACTTCTGCCCCGCCGCGTGCCGGGCACTACCTGGTACTCTATTTGACACATAGTCTGACATTCTACCTGGCAAATAGTCTGACATTCCATTCAACACTTTTTTCTGACATAGTATCTGAATTTTCATCACCATGTTTGTGACGTTTTATTTGAGAAATATTCTGGCATTCTATCCGACATTCTACCTCGCATCTTTCTATCTGACGTGAATTCTGACATACTAAACGACATTTATCTGGTGCCTCATGTGGCTTTTTATCTGGTAAGCTGCGTTCGTGTCCCTCGCGCTGGAGCTGATGACCAGAGCCCCCGCTGGTACCTATGCTATTTATTGTCATAGTATATTCCATGACCATGTAGATAAAAAGTTGGCGCCAAAAACTCACATGCGGCTTCATCCCTCGGGAGATCAACCCGATTGATCTTGCGTCGGTTGCGGCGCTTCCAGGAGCAGATCATGTTTTCTGGAATGGACCCATGACCTTTGGGTGTGTCCGAGATGAAGGTGCGATTTCTGCTGAAATGTCAAAGCGCGCTTTCTGCCAGTGCTGTCAACATGTAAAGATCAGCATTTGGAAGCCCCCATATAAACATGATGGGTGTATACATATTTCACATACACACACGCGCATATATATATACATACCTACCTATATTGTATTATATAATAAAATATTAAGAATATATAATTTGATATAATATAATATATAATATAATACAATATGATTTAATACAATATAATATCATATAATACAATATGATTTAATTTGATATATTACAAAAGCATTTGATATGATACAAGATAATAAAATTTTAAAGAATCCAATATAATATAATATAATAAAATATATTGTAATGACATAGAATATACCATAACATAATAAAATATAGTATAGCATAACACAATGTAATGTAATGTCATGTATTATAATATATTGTAATATGATGTATTTTTTTTTAAAAGTTTAATATCATACAATATGAATTCAATATAATTTAAGTTAAATACAGATCATGCATTGCAGGTGTATACATGTATGTAGTCTTGTTTTGGTACTAGTTCATATAGATTTAAGTAAAAAACATGTGCGCAATCATCGCAGGTAGGACTGCTGTTTGAAAAGGGGACAAATCCACAACTGGCATTGTTTAGAAAACACATCCTGGTAATCCCTTGGAATTGGGGATATTCTATTTCAGACAAAGCCAATACAAATTCACAAAGCGAAGTTCGAGGTGGCCTATTTTGAACGGGTGTGTGTGTGTGTATAAGCATCTGAATAGATTGTAAAACTTCTACCCTTCGTATGTCATAGTTGCAGGGGGCAGGAGCGTCATGGTAAGTCTCCTGCCACGAAGACGCTTGCCGTCGACGGTGATACCAAGTCGGCTTGGCCAGTTTATCCAAATCCAAGAAATCACGAACCCAAATCCATCCGAAATCCACCAAATTCTTTTCAACATAACCCATTTCTTGACATCTTTATCTTTTGCTGCTCAACCCCTAGCCCCTTGTGGCTGCAGACCTAATGCATCAGCATCATCATCATCATCGTCATCATCGTCATCATCATCCTCATCCTCATCATCATCATCATCACCATCATCATCATCATCATGGTCGTCAATGGAATAGTATGACAGGGACCAGGCATGATCAGAGGACGGGCAATGCATTGAGTCACCCTTTACCCTGAGGGGGGCATGTTTTTCCGAGCATGATCATCATCACCAGCAGAAGTCTTCAACTTTCATTGCTATCCAAGTATCATGTTTCGACCCAAGGGTTATTAGTGTCTTGGTGTTCAGGTTGTGATTTTCCTGACGACGGGCAACTCAGAGACCTCACAGCAAATCGAGGTCGATGTTGCTTCGGGCACAGCCGTGGCAGTGATGTTCGATTTCGGAGGATTGTGTGAGCTGGCAGTAGCAGCATCATTGTTTCAGATGCACTTTAAACTACTGTTCATTGCTGTCACATAATGATCCAAGACTTGCTTGCGTCTCGTTCCTCAAGAAATCTGTCTTTTTGGCTTGTGACAGGCGATGCAGACAGATCCAAGCACAGTAAGCATCCAATCAGCGTTCAACATTGGCTTGGACGCTTGTTTCCAATGTGTAGGTCCGATCGAGAGTGGTGATGGAGCAGGTTCCAGCCTGTCCATGGCATTGCAATCAGAGTTCGTATGAAGGTCAGCAAAAAAAATTGGCATAAATTGCAACTGGCAATTCCAAGTTCATTTCGCACGGGGTGGGCACGCCCAAGCAAAGCCAGCAGCTCTACCAGAATGCAAAACACATTGCTGCAGAAGAATTTTTGCGTGAAATAGATGATCATCGGTGGTCGGCAGAACAGCATTCTGGAAGGCGACAACATCGCAAAGCTTGGATTGCAAATTTCCGGGGGTGAAAAGCAAGGCCGGCACTGCCATTTGGCTCGGCTCACCACGTGCTTGTTTTTTGGCCTGAGGAAGGTTGAAATTTGGAGGCAGCTGCGCGTCAAATTGCACACCCGTTTCTAACAGTTTTTTCAGGTTGGCTTCAAACAAAAAGAAGACCCAATCAAGAGCAGTGCAAACCAAGCGAACAACTGGTTGCCTGCGCAAAGTTTCAGCAAAACGCCGCCAGCCAACGTTGCAAAAGATCCGCATGCTGCTTAAGAGAATTTTGTCTCATTGTGGATTGGTTGCTGACTTTCGCCAAGGGATCCTGTTCCTGTTCCCCTTTCCAATTAGTAATCTAGCGGGGCCATTTTTCCATTTCTTTTCCACCCGGGTGGGGCTGGAGGTTCAGCCAGGGCAGCCCGCAGCACAGTCGTTGGGTGCTTTTTTTGGTTTGTGTCTTAAAATGGCGTCAAAAAGCCTTTTGGTTTTATGTGGTCACCTTTCCTGGATCCTTGGTTTGCTTGAGGTCAGCATCGCAAGGTTGCCCCAGGCAAGCTAGCGTTGGCAGTTTTGGTAATGAAAGCAATGCATTGAAAGGCATTGCTATGCTGTTCAATGATTTTCTGCATTGCCTTGCGAGTTCTAATGGAAGGCTCAAGGCATGCGGGTCTTCTTGCACGTCTATGACGCTTCCCAGGACTCAAGTGGATGCGGGCGTTTGGGAGCCTTAGAGATTCACGGCTGCAGGTTGCAAATCGCATCATGAACTTGATAGCTCACCTCGTTTTTTGCAAGCATGCCACCCAGGGGAGTGCAGCCACGGCGTCCAAGTCAGGGTCAACGCCTGAGATGTAGTGTCATGCCGCGGTTTCAATTCGTTCCCTGCAAAATCGCATTTTTTGCACCTGGCGCACAACCACGCGGATTGAGGACCGTACCAACTCAAGCGGTGCAGCTCGAAGTGCGACCGTCAAATGCATAGGAAAATGGGGAATCGTTGCTCGAAGGGTGGACCTGCTTGAGGGGTGGGTTTTTGGTATGTGGATGCTGGCCATTTGGATCATCCGTTCGATCTCTGGATAGGGAATTGTTCGAGAAGTCTTTTCAGAGTTCATGTTCTATTGGGTGCTTCATTTTGGTCATTCGTATTGTGCATTTAGAGTGTGGAGTTTGCGGAAATGAGGTCTGGCTGTTTCAGCAAGGTGGGAGTTTGTGCATTCTGTGACTAAGTGTTGACACCAAGGTTGAGTCCCCTTCCTGGACAAGGGTGACATTGAGCTTGATTTCACGGCGATGGGTAATCAGAGCCAGCACAGGATGGAGCCTTCAAAGAAAGCTTTGAAGGAAAGGAGCCACCGCCTAGAGCACAATACCAAGTGCAAAGCGCAGTATGGATCCTGATCCACAGCTGCTCGTTTGAGCAACACGGAGTACAAAGGAGAAGCGTGCAGCAACAAAGCAGAGGCAGAAAATTCAGCAGCCCCCTGGCACAGAAGGAAGCTGCAAGACTAGTGCAAGGAAAGCCTTGAAGGAAAGACGCCACCGCCTAGAGCACAATGCCAAGCGCAAAGCGCTGTATCTGTATGGATCTTGATCCATGGCATTGCTAGGCTAGTTTGACCCAAGAGTCAGTTATGCGAAAAGGATAGAAGCGACTGAGGGATCTGGTGGCATGGTGGGCTCATGGGCTCATCATGGGTTCATCTGCAAGTTCAGTTTATCGACATGGAACGGGGAAATGATCCATAATCACTGCTAATAACCATCCCATTCCCCCATTCCCTACTAAGCTCCAGTAAGTCTTGGTGGCCACTTTTTTTAATTGATGAGGGGACAAATCTTTGGTGAATCTGGGGGTAAACCATGATGAAGTTGCGATCCAATTTCGCACAACATCTTTTCCTTATCTGAATGGCTGGAGGATTCACCATTTGTAGAGGATGATTGAACAGTGTGGCCTTCCCATGCCTATTCATGTTTTTATTCATGTTTTTACCCCTGTAAATCAAGGGTCCCCGTCTGTCAGAAGAAACAATTTCGATTCACCATGTCCATCCATTAAAAAAGATCACTCCCCATCTACCGATGATCTTTTTTTTCTGCTGCTGTTGGAAACC